TACGCAGGATTAAGTAAAATTTTTTTCAGAGATGTTTTGTCACGGTTGCAATTGAGATGAGGCTCAGAGAGACACCTGCCCATTCTCTCTCAGCCCCTTTTCCTGACCCCTGGGGCAGTTCTCGCCAGTCCTGCTGCATCTCTTGTAGCTTTCTCTTCTCTTCTCTTCTCTTCTCTTCTCTTCTCTTCTCTTCTCTTCTCTTCTCTTCTCCAGATAACTGAGTTTCCTTCATTCTCTGAAACTCTCTGCACATGACTTGTCTACCTTGGAGTAGTAGATGTTTTTTAGAAAGTTTTTTTAATAGGACAATGAGCAATTTAAGAATCAAATTAGGGCCTAATGGAAGTCAGTGAGAAAGTGTTTGTGCTCGTGTGCTCACTGCAGTGGGAATAGGACCTTCCCGTAGGTAAAGCACTAGGAGCACACATGCCTCACTCTAAGAAGTGTTCTCTGGCAGTCACGGACTGTAGCGGGTTACCGCACTAAGCAACAGGACCCATTTAACTTACGTCGGTAGAAACACCACTCATCTGATGGCAGAAGTTCTAGGATTGGCATGGCAGAGGTGCCAGCTTGAAGCTTCCTCCTCTCATCTGTTGACCAGTGAATCCCGAGGAGGAGAAGAAGTCTTCTCTGCTTCACTTCCAGATAAGAGGTTCTTACTGCCTCACCTTTCAGAAACTCTTTCTTCTAAGAAAATCACTGGTATTTCACAGGACTAAAAATAGACATCTCGTTTAGAGTAAGGGTTTGCCTGCTGAGAGTTTCCCTTGTGCTTCATTGTGCTCGGTCACTGGGTAGAGCTGTGCTTTGTGGAGAGCCTGGCTTGCGCATGGCAGAACACGGCGCATTCAGAGTGCAGAATATTTAATGTAGTGCTTACAGCCCCTGCTTTGCGAGAGACAGCTGGCCTGGGTGAGGACTGGTAGCCCAGAGACAAACAAGCGAAGCTGACAGATCGGTGAGTGCTGGATGGGATCGTCTGTCGGGAGACGCGGTGAATCACTGCGAGCAGATCGGTGAGTGCTGGGTGGGATCATCTGTCGGGAGACGCGGTGAATCACTGCGACGCAGCATTTCATTTGCAGAAGGATCGTTTTCTGAAAAACTCCAAGGCAGAAGAGACAGCTGGGGGTGTTTTGTGAGTTTTCATTTAAATCAAATATACATTTAGAATAAAGGCATATTGAAAAGTTCCTGCTATTCTAAAAGTATTTGGAGGAAGAAACAAAATTGAGGTTAGCGGGAACCAGAACGACCTGGAGGAGGATTTGCCAGCTATGCTCCACAAATAGATGTGGGGTTTTACTTACCCTTCTCTGGTCAAAGCCGGTAGGAATCATATGTCTAGAGCTTCAAGCAGGGCTTCAATTAGGGGAAAAAATATCCACCTTATAACCTTGTGCACAGGTTATTCAAACAGAGATCAATGTGCTTTTAATAGGACTGCACAAAGACGCTGAGCTCCTTGCAGCCTGTGCTCTGTGCTCTTGGAAACCCAAGGCTGCTTCTGCATCAAGACTGATTAATTCATGCAAGATACACATTGGTGAAAGGGCCTGTGGAAGTGGCTGGAAACAGGGGAGATGCAGACGGTGGGGACTTCACGCTGGTGCCTCGGCTACAGAGGCGTGCCAGGAGGCTGCAGGCGACGTCTGCCTCCCCTTCTCCTGGGGACAAAGGGCCACGGACTCGGTTGTGCTGTGCAAGGTCATTTCTAGGGGATGATGGAGAAGACCTTTTTGAGCCTAGCGTAAGCAAACAGGAGAATGTGGATGCTTTAAGGAGTGAAAAAGAGGTTTTGACTTGGCTGCTCTTTAGAGGATAGCACTCCTCGGTGCATTTACCGCATGCTTGGTTGGCAGGGCAGTTAGAAGCTCCAGTAACAGAGAGCTGTGTAAAGTCTACCTTCACAATCACCCACATCAATATGAAGCTCTGTGAGTGTGTGTGTATGTGTATAAAACTCTGGGAGATTTCCGGATACCTTCCCGTGACAGTGGGCATGAAATAAAAATGTAAGGAAATGTGGAGATAGTGTCACAGCCTGTGTCTGCCTCTTTCCAAGCTGCAGCCTGTGTAGAGATAAGGAAATGAGGCACACACGCGGTGTGGGATCCGAAAAAGCTTACAGCCTCTTCCAGGCAAGATTCAAACAGGCACTTCCTCTGTAAACCAACAAATAATAATGGATCATGCAATGTGCATGACTTGACGTTGAGGAACTCGCTGGCGTTTTGATCCAGCAGCGAGAGATGGGGTCACCCCCTGCCTGCTTTCTTGAGTGATGCTCTGCTCTTCACTCGGTTTCTGAAATAGGGAAATCTGCTGCCAGTTGCGTTCCCAGTCTTGCACTCTCTGTGCAGGGAAAAGGGGTTCATTTCATGAGGAAGAGGGGGCGTGCTTTCAGTTTGCCTGAGCCCATTGCTAGCGCATCTTCTGCAGGTAAAGGGGAAGAGCAGGGATGGGTGGTGAGGTGATCTCGTGAGCCCATGTTAAAGCACACATGGACCAACAGAACGTTCCTGATCTTATTTTATAAATGTTGATCATAAGTTATTAAATTGTTATTATGATTATGACTCTCAAAAGGACGTGAAGATGGCATTAACGCAGGCGGCCTGTGAGCCCTGGCCAAAGGGATTGTCATGCCGAGCCACTGTGTTGGTTTGCAAAGCCAAATCTGAGTGAGGCAATGCAGACTGTGCATGTCACATCCTCTGGTAGCATGGCATTTGCCCTTCAGATAAGCATCCCTGCTTGATTTGACCTTCCCTGCCTTGTTCCAGACTAATGGCGATACGAACTGTAGGCTGATGCGTACCTGTCTCACCTTAGGGTGCAGATTTTCCCGGCTGTGATAAGTTAAGATTCCAAACAGACCTTTCTCTTCTCTCTGAAGGCAACAGGCTCACTAGCTAGAGTGCTGTCCCCCCCTGCCCTCAGCTGTGCTGGTCCCCATCACCTCTGTCCCTTTCTGAATAAGAATTAGTTTTTCAACAATTAATTAACCTCACTACCTCTGCAGGACACAAACTGAATTTCACAGCCTCTCTCAGGCTAGCAGCACACCCGTGCCTTCCCATCCCAGCCGCTGGCTTTGCTCAGGACCACAGCGGCTCCAGCTGAGACACGGGGAGCTGAGAGTCAGCGAAGAGCTGGAACCCAGTTCAGAGTAACCCTTAACTGACTGCCAGGAATCCCCACATGTAAAAGTTCATCATTTATTGCCTGTAATCTTCTCAACTAATTCCAAATTTAATGATAGCTTTCAGCTTTGGTTTTCTCTTCTAATTAACGTACTGGTGACTGCTTGTAATCTCTGCGTAAAGTCAAAAGCAGCTTACGTGGTGATTGCAGCGGGACCACAGCACCTGCTGTTCAGGATAGTGCTTGCATGATCGCTACGGTGCTGAGATTAAGCTGTACATCTTTCTTGTACTGTCCCAAAGCTGTTTTATTAGCAGCTCAGCGTGATGGGGGTAAACTTGTGGGAAGGAAAGAAAATAACTGGAGAGATCGAGCACAACCCTTTGCACGTACAGGAGAGATTTCTTGGACGTGATGAACTTTTGAGGAACTTTCATGGAGTCATATTGTTGAGTAACTTCATGTTTACCCCACAATAATGGTGATGTAGTGGGTTGAAAATTCCCATTTTACACATCCACTTTTTTTTCCAGGAGCAAATGAAAACAATGATGGCTCAATAAAGCAGAAGGAAAACCCAAGTGTATGGTAGAAACAGAATACCTTTGTTCCCTCTGTTAACTCAAAATTAGCGTTAGTGACTTCATTTCCGACCCCCCTGAGCTGGAAGGACTGGTGTCAGAGGGGCAGTCCCTGGGGAACACCCCACGCCTGCCTGTTCTCCAGGGTGGAGGAGAGCATGGAGCAGCCTAGACTGTCCCGGTGAAGCAAGCTGGGAACTTCATTTTGGTTTTCTTTTTGGCTGTTGCAGCAGAAAGATCGCAGAGTGGCAGTGTATTTTGCAGTCAGATTTATAGCAGATTGATGGCGAAGAAAATGGGACAGGTCTGCTCGCTTTTGCCAGATCTCTGATGTCAGACCACGAACAGCGACAGGCCCCCAGGGGAGGGGGGGGTGTATTGGAGCAGCTCTGTTCAGTGCTTTTCATTTACAGCAGAAAAATCAGGTTAAACAGTGAATATCCGTTTATTATTTACTTCTTTTTTTGTGTTGGCGTGATTCTGTAGAAATGTGTGTGTATGGTTAGACTGGGAGAGAGGCACTTGCAGTCATTTCAGACACCAGCTGGTGGTGACCAGTGGATCCAGCAACAACCTGCGCTGCCGGCAGAGACTCTCAACAAGAAAGCACCGTCTTCAACTGCAAAAGCCTCTGAAGCACAACTTTGTGTTTTCATTAAATCAATGAAAATGCATTTATTTAAGAGCAGCTCCACTTAGTAACTAAATTCTTAAATCCTGTCTGTCCTGAGCTCTGGATAGCTCATTCCCTG